GTCTTAAAGTCATTTAAACCATTGGAATGGTATGTCTTAAAAATGTAATGTTTTCGACCTTTTTAGCTTTCAGCTGAATTCAGTCAGTACACCACCAGCCTATTAGCTTTCAGCTATAGAGGTCAAAAAGACAGCTAAAGTTACATGATGAGACCAAAGTGGTTTAAACACCGTCATTTCTCAGCATATTTAGATCATTTCAGCTAAAACACTGGAGTCGAACAGTGGTGGGTGATATGCATACCTTAAGAAACCTTTTATTGCTTTTCTTTGTTTGTTTTGTTTTTGTTATTTGAAGACTATTTTGTTTGAATTTATTTATTCGAGAAAAGGGGCAGATATAAGATTTTTTTCTTCTGCTGCCTTTCATTTATGATTTGTATTTTTATTGTAGATAGAATTGTTTTTAAGGAAATTAATAAACTTTATAAACTAAACTGGTTAATAAAGTTATGGTTGGGACCACATTACATATCTTAAAGCATCTCTTTTGGGGTTAATATTCCAGTGTTTGCCAATAGATTTATAAATGGTTTATCTGTAGTTATGCTCATTAAGCGCACTAATTGAACTAATGCACATTTGCCTTTAAAGTCTAAAAAAGAATAAAGTGTAGAAAAGCTGATTCATCCTCAGAGTTGAACCTTTGACCCCGCCTGAAACACCTGCTGCTCCCACCCAATCAACACAAACACCGTTTTATGTACAATATGTACAACATTTATTATAATTATTATATAAAATAGACAATGTACTTAAATTTTCCACAGTAGAAAAAATACAGGTAATAAATACAAAGACCATATTTGTTTTGCAGGGATTACAAAACATCCAGCACAATTTTGACAAACGTGACACGATATAGAGAATAAATGCTTTTGCCACAACAACGCTCATATAATCGCTAAACATCTGCCTCTTCTAGTCAACTTTATTGCGTTACAGTCTGTACTCATATACATATTGCTAGCACTAGTCTGTGGCCTAAATGCGCTGCGCTGACAAGGACCAACATCCCGAAAGGTCTTCAAGTGTATCAAACGTCGCCTTCCTGTCTACTTCCTTTTCCCCTCATCAACCAGCAGTCCCTCCGCCTCGTCCCTCTTTCACTTCCCCCTTTCCCTTTCTGCTAATTCAAACGTTTTGTTTTTTTTTAAACAACAAATAGTCGTAGAAAAATAAGTGTCCCTCCCAAGAATCCGTTGTGACGAGCTAGTACAAATATGGCAAAAAAAATTTAAAAAAGTACTCACAAACACACAAATAATCACACATCAATACAGCCACTGACTTAATAATTAGCATTTTGTAATCTTTGTCCGCAACACAACACGATAATTAGACGTGAGAATATCCTCCGACTAGTCATAAGTACTTCTGGAAAAACACACACACACACACACACACACACACACACAAAAAAATGTGTCGAACATCACAGCACTCGTTAGCATGTCTACCTTTAAATACAAATAAAATATAGAATATTTATATAGATCTCTTATAAATGTCACTCAACATTTTCGTCTCTCTGCAGCACATTTGAACATTACAAATAACACAAAACAGGAATGTATTCAGAGGATTATCGGTATTTTTTTTTTTGTTGTTGTTGTCTTTGCAGGAAATTCCTGCCAGAAAGAAACTCTGCTTTTGGTGGAAGTCTGACGGATACGTAGGATCAGAAGCAGCAGCAGACTGTACCGAGGTTACTGCGCAGTGAGGAAATGCGAGCGGCGTGAGGTCAGAGCCCCTGGAAAAACCATGGTAAGGAAAAGTGATGCGTGACGACAGGTGGAGCCGTTATGTTCTGCTTTTCCCTTTTAGGTTTTTGTAGCTTAAGGCACTGCGCTGACAGCACAACCATGACCATGTGGAGGGGTGGACCCTTTAAACTGTAGCAGGTGCCGTTTCCTGGCTCTCGCGCTCTCTCTCTCTCTCTCTGTTGCCTCAGAAGCATCAAAGGAATTTAGAAAAGAGAAATAATTATTACCCTAATGACTAAATGAAAGGCTGGGGATCTTGGAGACGCAGCAAATCATTTCAGATGACAACAGCATAAAAAAAAGATAATAAAAAATGAAGACGGTCTGGAAGAAGGCGCCAACGTCCCCCTGCTGTTGGTGTCATCATCAGAAACAGGAAGTGGCCCCCCCTGGAGCCCGTTGGCAGCGCAGTGTGCCTGCACCAACGTGGCAGCTAAAGACGTACAGTAACTCTGGGATCCAGTCTGGCTTGAGTCAGAGTCCAGCTGCGGCTCGGTGAAGAGGGGCTGGTGTGTCCTGACGCAGCATCGGGGCTCCACGCCTGCTTCCCATGAAGCCTGCGTCTTTCTGAAATCGTCAACTCTAAACTGCACGAGTGAGGGGTGGGGGTGGGGGGGGGGCACGTCCACCTGTCCTGGATGACTTCTCACCTGCTCTTAGTCCTTTTAAAGAGAAACTAAAGGAAACTATTGTTTCTGGGCAACCTTGTAGGCCTTGCTGCAGTGAAAGGAGTTACTTCTGCATATCGTAATGTGAAAAAGGCACAATGCAGACAATAAGTTTAGTATTTTCCTACTTATTTAGTCTTCCTGTTGTCTTGCCTTTATGTTTTCTGTGTGTGTATGTGTGTGTGTGTGTGTAGCATAACCATTTCTACATGWATTTGCTTTACAGACTGTTACTATAAACACCCCCCACCTCTCCTGCTCTGGGTCTAGCAGCTCTTCTAAGACGGGTCCTGTTCTTTCTGCGTCTGACTTTGGGACGGACTCTTCACGATGGTGATGACGGAGGCGGTGTTGAGGCGTGGGGCCGTGGCCAGCAGGCTGCCCCCGCCCGCTTCCAGGCCCCGGGCGAACCTCTGCAGGGCGGCCAGACGCGCTCCGAGACCCTCCAGCTCCTTCCTCATGCCGGCGTTCTCGGCCCCGAGCCGGTCCACCTCCCTCTGCAGCTCCATTTTCTGCTGCTCCAGGGCCTCTCGCTGCGACACGCGCTTGACCCGGCAGCTAGCCGCGTAGCCGCGGTTCTTCAGGGTGCGGCGGCGCTGCTTCAGCTTCTGGATGTCCTCCCGGGAGAGGCCGCGCAGGTGGAGGTTCAGCTCCCGCACCGACAGGGACATGAGCTCGCTGTCGGAGAGGATGGGGACGTTCTCGCCACATTCCTGCTTCACCTGGAGGAGAGGCGGACAGACAGGAATGAGCTAAACAAATGCAGGCTGCAAAACACACTTGTTTTTGCTAATCGTTCGACTTCATTACCTTACAACCTCAAATTAAAACTCCCTATTTTCAAACTATAATTGTTTTAAAGCTACACAAAATACTATAAATGATATAAAACACTTATAATGAACATAATGGGTAGGACCAATGAAACAGAGATAAACTGGAATGAGCACTGAGGATGCTAAAGCAGGGTTTGCGGCCGCCATCTTGTTTGCTGCTAAGTGTATCACTCTGTGCTACAGGAGGAACCCACACTCTGTTAACACCTTATGCTTCCTGTATGCTGAGTCGTCAGAAAGAAAAAGCCTTGTTTAAATCATAATAAAACATATAGTGCATTTTGTGAAAATTGAAGAGCCAATTGCAGTTAGTCAGGCTAGTACAAAAAACTGCACTCTGTGTAATAGAGTACTTTACAAGTCTACTGTCTGTAGTTATTTTCACCTACTTCAATGTAAATAATGTATTTTTTTTCTCTGTATTCTGTAAATATCTTGTCCTTACTTCCTTTTGTTTAGCTTTTCCAGTGGTAGTTAAGACAATAAATCTTTAAAACTGATTATATTTTCTGTTAGCTGGTCAACGTCGACCCTCGGTTTGCTGCTTTACAGTAGTTATTGCAGGCTAGTCTGGAGAGAGAGGACTCCTGGTTTAACATAGTGTGTGTGATTAGTATTTCTAAATAAATAAATAAATAAAAAATAAGATAAATGTCATGTCATGTTGTTTGAAGTTCAGGTTCTGATAGTTGTAACAATTAGTGGCAAAACATTTGGCTTCTTGGCTAGGGGTGTAAGAAAATATCGATACACTGAAATATCGCGATATTTCATTTCCCGATACTGTATTGATATTCTAAAGCCCTGTATCGATTTTTAATTAAGGTTTAAAATGTTAACTTTCCTGCCAGCCGTTCATTTTTATGTTGTAGTTCAGCCTCTGACCACTAGTTGGCAGCAGTGAGCCAGCCATTTGGCTCCTCTACCTCTTGAGAGCCAGAGAGTAAGGGTCGCATTAGCATTGTGAGTAAACATTAGCTTCATGCTCCGATAGCTGAATCTGAGCGGAAAAGACCGACACTCTCTGCCTTACCTCAACAGTTACTTATTTATCAGAATGACTGTATTTTAAGCTAAAATAAGTGTCTTGTGCTCTCTTTTTTCCAACTTTAGTCAGCTTTCACYTTACAGAAAGCTGGCGCATGTCTATGTAATAGAATTTTATGAGACAATGAATTTTGTTTTTTCTTTTTTTTCCAGTAAGAGGTTTTTATTTAACAGAATTTTTGGACCAAAAAAAAAAATCGCAATATATCACAATATATCGCCTTGCTTACAGTATATACAGTATATCGGGATATATCGTATCGTGACCCCTCTGTCATGATATGTATCGTATCACCAAATTCTTCCCAATACACAGCCCTATTCTTGGCTGAGTTCGTCTAAGGATGCCATGTAGCACCTACCAAGATGGCTGCACACATTCTAGCCTCATTAGCATAAACTGTGCTGTGGTCGGCCATACCAGCATATTTCTGGTTCAGCAGTTAAAGCTTCAGATTTCAGAGTAAAGTTTTGTTTTTTACTATAGGCAACAAAATAAGAAGATTAACTTTATGTTGAAATAAATGTTTGAAATTATTTTTGTCAAAGTTTCCTTTGGTAATAATCCAAAGCTACAGAATAAATTTTTACCTTCAGGGCTTTGCTGTTTATCTCCATTGTCATAATCCAGTTGTCTTGGGTTTTTTTTTCCCAGAAAGCACCACTCAAAACAAAAATAAACACTCTGTAAAAAAAAGGAAGAAAAAAAACAGGATTAAAGACTTATGTTTTTACATGTGACATTTACCATCCGCTCACAYGACAAGTCATGCGCAGTTAAGAAAAGAAGAACCCACAGAGGGTTTTTTTTTTGCTTCTCTAAAAACTCTCTCTCATTAAACTCTGTGGTTCGATACGAGAGGAAGAGGAGTGTGTGAATAAGTGTGCCTTTTTTTTTTCTCCTCTCTCTGTTAGATGGAAGAGTTAGGGGGAAGTTATCATGTGTCTGGCCTCTGGTTGCTCAAAGCAGGTGTCCTAACCAAACCTCCCAACACTTCCTCCTTTCAACTGTTCAAAAGCTTTCATTTACAACGTCTAACACGCCCCGGCTGCTTTGTAGGGAAAATCCTGACTGTTGAACCGACGACTCGAGGAGCATTTTATTTCAAACCTGTATTCAGTTTGACAAGAAAAGTAAAAGTAAAACAGGAACAAGCAGTCATGACAGCAGCAGAATTGCACAACCCAGTTTGTAATTTTCTTCCCCCCTTATTGTTGTCGCCGAGCCTCTCGCAGATAGCATCAGGACTTCCCACACACCTTTTAAGGTCAGCTTGCAAATATTGTCGTGTGGGATCAAAGTCTAACCTCTAAGCGGGCTAAATAAAATCACCCCTCCCCTCCCCGTGTCACATCTCAGTTTGCTGAGGTGCATGAATGTCGTGTTGAAGTGATTCAGCACAAAAGACAGTTTTGTCTTTTTTTTAAAAATCGATTTCATCTCGATAAGGGCTGCAAAAAAGGGACCCCTAACAGCGCGTGTTCATATAAAAGTCACACAGCTGAGAAGAACATTTAATTAGGGTCAGCAAATTCCACTCTCGACGGGTGTTTTCCCGTGTTAACTTTCTGAATTACTGCAACTCTGGAGTTTCTCCTCAGAAAGTGAATGTCCTTTCACTGACCCGTGCTTCAGTGCTGATGTGGAGAGGAAAGAAATGAAACATAACCAGGAAGTTTTCTTCTATTCAGCTCAAAATTTAAACAAACAAACAAACAAACAAACAAACAAACAAACAAACTCAGTGCTACTTTGAGGATTTTGTTCTGATTGCTGAAGGAATTTGACTTCTTCTTGCCAGAACCACTTCCAAATATTTCAGTTCAAACCACAAGTTTTTAAAGGTAGACTGTGTAAAGTTGTTAAGGCCTGTCAGGAAACGAAATGCCCACTTCATCCTTTTCTCATACGGATGATCGTGTGCTTGTTTACCTACAGAAAGCCAAATCAACTGAAAATCATGAGGTCTAAGGAAGAGCTACGGGGGAAAAAACAAAAACACGGTGTTTTGTTTACACTGAATGCACACGAACATTTCAGAGTTATCAATGTTTGAAAAAACTATTGCAGTAAGCAATGTTAAACTGCCCTATTTATTATAGTTTTGCTTTTTTAATACTTGATTTTATAGTTTGCAAATGAGTACCTTTAAATATCCTCAATTTTAACTCACTTATATCTTCCTGATTTTTCCTAAACTTTTGATCGTTGTTTTAAAGGGATCCACGATTAGTTGTAACATTAAACTTTATTTGATAAACATTTAATTTAACTGTAAAAATACTGTAGGCTGTTTAGTTTAGTAAATTTTTTTAAATATATTTTAACACGGACGGAGCCATTTTATTTACACGCAAAGCATTCTGGGTAAATGATGACGTGGATAGGTCCTCGGTGTGAGCGAGCTATATCCACCCTGAAGG